TTTTAGCAAGAGATTCGATTTCACGACCACATCAACTTTGCTGTAATTTCTATCGTGTGAAAATAAATGCTTTGATTGAGTGATTGATTGATCGATCCATTTGAACACCGGTAGTATACTATTCCTATACATGCACTGCTGTGTCCAGTATATCATTCATGATGGCTGAATAATTTTAGACACTGTATATGCGAATTTGATATCCCTAACTCATTAGAGTTAATGTGTATGTGCGAGTGTCTCTGAATTGGGCACTTCAATAACTCAGGCTCAGCGTTTGTACCTTGGGCTTCGTCTTGGTTCAAGTGTTCAACAATCATGAAGAAATGTACATTTGAACACTCCACAAGTATTCGCACATATCTCACATATAAACATAAAGTCGTGGGTCCTTATTGCATGTTTACCGTGAAATGTTTCTACTGTTGATCTATAATTTAAAATATTAGACATGAACTTAACGTCTTTTCGGACAACAGCGATAAATACAGCGATCTCCGACACATTTGCCATAGGCGTAGCGACTTGCAATTCGATTAACTTGATATGTGAAACTATGCAGTTAAAGTATTATGTCATTAAACCTACGTGATAAATCATCATCTCTTCCTCGATGTTCTCGCTTATCCAAGCAGCCCAATGCCAGTGACATATTCGTAAAAACCCACATTTAGGCGGCCATGTATGAGTATCATGGCTTCCACTCCAATCAAGGCCGTCAGGCATCGGCTCTGGTGATTCACACACGACCAAGTCTGGTAACCAATGAGGATACTCGCTATTCACATAAACACGAAGCTTATAATTTCTGTCTCCATTTAATTTCACTTTGTGCTCAAAACATTGCTCATTGTTTTTATTCAAGATTGGGTATTTATCTGGACAAAAATATTCTTCCAGTCTATCTTGTTCCTTTCTCAAACGTGCCTTCAAATCTGGTGGTCTGTAGACTTTAATCTCCTTACATTCTGCCAAGTCCGCCATATTTTTTTTGTTGATATTGAATTATTAGTTGTCCTTGTACAATAGCCGTGTATTCTCACACATATCAGTAGCAAAACAATACTAATCGACTGGGCTTCGATTTTGTTTCCTTTGATACAGTACTTCTTCTTACAAAGCGCCAAAAT